AGCCTCTGGAGGGCAAAAAAACAGTCCTATGGGCAAACCGGAGGTTCAGGAACAGACCTCCGGTTTGCTTGGACTGTCGTTTTAATTGCTCTGGAGGCTTCAGGGAAGCCTCCTGAAGGTCCCTAAAGCCTTTGGAGGGCTTCTGGGGGGGCAGGGAAGCTGTTTTCGCCCTCCCCAGGCTCCTATAAAGCCTCTGGAGCCTAGGGAGGGTGAAAAAAGCATGCAAAAAATGGGGGGTCGCACCTGTAGTGCGTGCATGTGGCACTGGGGGGGGTCGCGCATTGCATTATGGGTGCAGCACGCCCACATGACTCCCTGTGCCCCCCCCCCCCAAAAAAAGGTTCACTATCACTGACCTAGGCTGATCTTGGCAGAGTAAAGCCTATTTACTACTTGGATATAAGCTTCCAAGAAATATCGGGCAGTAGGGTAGACTGGGACATTTAAAAAAAACACATTCTGGAGGATGGTAATGGCAAATCATTTCCATAGTACTTCTAAGAAAACTAAATGGATGTAATCATGAAATTACCAGGAGTTAAACTGGATTTGAAGATGATTTTATTCTCTTGTAGCAGTGAAGGAAATATTTCTTGGGATTGGGAGGAGGAAAAAGAGGAGGAAAAGGGGAGGAAAGATTACAACTCTTTCTTCTAAGGTTAAGATTAAATACATTATCTTTATTGGGGGATTCATTCTATTTGTAATGTGCCTTTTGAGGGGGAAAAAGCCATGCTTTTTTAAAACTGACCAGTGTTATAAGAAGAGGCAGATTTTTCTTCCATGCTTTAGTTCTACTCTGTCTAATCACTGTTATACTTTCACAGTACTCCTTTTTCACAATTTCATTAGTATAGGGTAGCAATTCATAATAAATAGAAAAGGAACTTTAAGTAGAAACATGTAGTTTCTCCAACCAGTCCAGAGGTGGAACTGTAATGATTACGTCAGACAGGGTTTTTAAATAGCACCAGTTATTTCAAGGATGTTAGCATTGATCTTGGCAGAATCTCTATTTTCTGCAGTGCCCTTCTTACAAGGTGCTACACTAGAAGATGCATTTTAGTTTTTGGTAAACTACGAGGTTGGGGTTTCATTAGGACTAACATTAGGAGGTAGCTAATTTTTCAAAGTCTGTTCAAATACAAAATGACACTCACTTATAAGTTCTAGTATGTACCGTATTTTTCAGAGTATAAGACATACCTTTTCCCCCAAAAAAAGAGGGTGAAAATCTGGGTGCATCTTATACGTTGAATACAGCATTTTTGGCTTCCCGAAACCCTGCCCCTTCACAAAAATGGACATGTAGAGGGTTTGGGAGGCATGCAAAGCGCTCCTGGGGGCTGGTGAGGGCAAAAATGAGCAAAAACCAGGCCCTTTTTTGCTCATTATTGCCCTCCACCAGCCCCCAGGAGCATTCTACAAGTCTCCCAAAGCCTATGCATAACCTGTTTTTTTGGGGGGGGGGGATGTTTTTGCAAAAATGGCCCATTTTTTGCTCGTTTCCCCCCCCCAGCCCCCAGGAGTACTTTGCAGTACTCTGCATGCCACATTTTTCATAAAAACAAGGAGTGCAGGGGGTTTGGGAGGCCTGCAGAGTGCAAAAACCTTTTAAAAAAGATTACCTCTTTAAAATCTTGGTGCGTCTTATACACCGGTGCGTCTTATACTCCAAAAAATACAATACATACAGGATGCATCTGCAACTCCTTCAATGCATATTCCTTCTGGCTATGAATTTGAAAAATGTAGAAATATCGAAGCATATGCTTATCATATATGCTTACACTCCTCTCCAAATGACTTCATGCAAAAAAGGCCAATTACATGGAACTATACTATCAGAAATCTCACACAGATTTTTTTTTTTTTTACTGAATATGTCCACTTCATACATGGAGCTATTTCAATCTTTCTGGGTTGGAAAAGCAAATGGCAAAGGAAACAATACTTTGCACGTATGGGGGGAAATTGAAACAAAAAATCTTGATATATATTCTTTGTTGGATATGGTGAGAATTCTCAAGTAAACCTAAATATGACAGTATAATGGGAATTTTAGCATGTAAATATGTGCTTACCACTGAAAAGGGGTGACTTTTTGCTTCTTCACGTATATTTGTAAAAGGTGATTCTAATATCAGGGCATCTGGGGGAGTTTCTGAAAAATAAAGAGCATTGTACATTTCAGCCAAACTATTGATGCATCCCTACAAAAATATATCTTGCATCCACCTTGAAGGACATCTGAGAAATGCAGAGAAACGCAAATCCAGAGATGGAACTATACATAAAGGCATGATTGCAAGAATACTTTCTGGTGTACAAGAATTTGCCATTATTTTCAATTTCTGGATGGATGGATGGATGGATGGATGGATGGATGGATGATGATGATGATGATGATATATGGATTATTACATTATTTTTTAAAGCCACTTAGACAAACTACCAAGGCAGTTATCTGAAATGAATTAGCTTTGACTTTACAAGAGTTCAGGAGAGTGTGATATCGTGAACTTTCATAGAATTAAAAACCTCTAAAATAAAATATAATAGGATGAACAACTGGACTTCTCTTTTGAAGATACAAATGCAGTTATGTTAACCTGTGGCAAAACCTGAGATATTGGAACAGTGCTATCGTGTCTCCCCTAGTCCTTCTTTTCATTAAATTAGACATATCCAGTTCGTGCAACCACTAAAACATATGAAGAAAAGTTGCGGGAACTGGGTATGTCTAGTTTAATGAAAAGAAGGACTAGGGGAGACATGATAGCAGTGTTCCAATATCTCAGGTTGTTGCCACAAAAAAGAGGGAGTCCAACTATTCTCCAAGGCACTTGAGTGTAGAACAAGAAGCAATGGGTGGAAACTAATCAAGGAGAGAAGCAACTTAGAACTTAGGAGAAATTTCCTGACAGTTAGAACAATTAATCATGGAACAACTTGCCTCCAGAAGTTGTGAATGCTCTGTTGGTGGAGATTTTAAAGAGATTGGACAACCATTTGTCTGAAATGGCATATGGTTTCCTGCCTAGGCAGGTGGTTGGACTAGAAGACCTCCAAAGTCCCTTCCAACTCTGTTATTCTCTTCTCTTCTCTTCTATCCTATTCTAATTCTATTATATTCTATTTTATTCTAACCTCTCTACCAAATTTGAAAAGTGTTAGGCAAATCCATACATCACAGGAGAGCTGAGTAGAGGGGCTTTTTACAGCTGCAAAAACTGGAGGCAAGTACAGTATCCATAGAACTTCAAAAATTATCAAATTACATATGAGAGAAGAAAACTATGAAATGTTTAACAAGTAAATAACTATGCTAGTTAATCAAATTTAAATAAAAAATTCATTTTTCCGGTCTTCTCTTCCCATTGGTCCTGCCACGCCTATCAACAGTCAAGTGTGAAACATGGCCTGCAAAAAACTACACCATAATGGAGTCATTATCTCACTCTGGCATTATAATAAAAAGGCAGTTTTACTGCTAAATACTGACCTATTTAAACTGTTCTCAAAGTCAAGAGAAAATATGGAGGATATTAAATGCTCTTTCATAACATCATGTAGAAAAAGTCATCTTACCTCTTTCACAAAGACGTCTTACTAGATTGGTTGCAACTCTAGAAACAAAACAGAGTTAAGTGTTGATTACAGAGAGCACTCATCTAGTTTTCTTCTTAAACCTTTACAACTCTACCCCATTTATCTTATCTCCTACTCTGAAAAACATGTCATAAAACATTAAGATTTAATACATCCCCTGACCATAAGAAAGCAGAAATGTGTATAATTCCAGAAGCATATACTGACATAGTCCCTCCTCTGGGGGGATGGAATTGTGGAACTTTTAATATGAGGCTATGATGTAAATAACAACTCTATCTCTCTAATCTAAATTAAAGAAAGTATAAAGAGCATTCATAGATTGTTAGTAAAACACTATTCATCAGATCAGTTTCATGCATTGCTCCAGTAGAAATTAAAGTAGTAAACAGTAAACTATTGCTCAACATTTGTACTGCAAAGTTAATCAAATAAAGTATAACCTCAAATCTAAGGTGCCTGAATAATATTCATCTTTTATTTTTCGATCTAAAGAAGTATTTGTATAAATCTAAATGCTTATGACTTCCTCTTATCTTAAAACTAAAATGCTTTGATTCCAAGTTCTTCTCAGTGGACCCATACTGAATATGGGCTATTTATATATTTCAAAGTAATTTTGATAAATTCCCTGCAGCTCTGTTTTGCAACCCCACCCTACTTCTTTCGAGAACTTATGGATTCCATAACAGAGTGGGAAGGGGAGGGAAGGGGAGGAGATCCTTGATTGGAGTCTTTTTGTGAATGGAAGGGTCCTTCTATACACCGAAAGCAACTCAAGTCCAACCCCCTGGCCTGGGGGAGGGGAGGGGCAACACATTTATCATTAAATGACACAAGAAGAAACCACTACATATGGGATGTTAACCTAAAAGAATTTAAATCTTTAAAAAGGGTATTTACTGGTTACATTTCTTATTTTTATTTTTAATGAGCATAGTTCCATTAGAAGTGGCTCTATCTCCTCTTTAAAATGAAAAAAAAAACATATTTGCATATTTTTCCATTTAAACTCTGAAAAACCAATTTCCTCCAGCTCCTTTGGCCTCCTTTGACTACTAACAATAACAATGAAGTTTTGAATTTACCAGTGTCTGGCAGCATCTGCACTGAGAATGGAGTTCAAGCATGTGAAAAGGAACTACAGAGACAATAGCTACAGCACATGCAAGTCTAAGCTCGTTAGGAAAAGTTATAGCAATAACACTTAGCAATAGCAATAGCACTTATACTTATATACCGCTTCACAGTGCAGAACTCTCTAAGTGGTTTACAGAGTCAGCATATTGCGCCCTACAATATGGGTCCTAATTTTACTAACTTTGGAAGGATGGAAGGCTGAATAAACAAAAGGTTCCTGATATCAGCAAAGTTATAGCTTTCATTAATGTCTTTGCTTCAAAGACATTAATGGGAAGATCAATCTATGGAAGTACAAAATATTCCAAAAGTATTCAATTGACTCTGCCATCATCCACTTTCCTGTGGCAGAAACATTTTGTGTGCAGTCTTGGGGATACTTCTGCCAGCAGAATGTAAACCTTAAATGATGCCACTAAAATTATTCTAAAATTTTGCTTAGATCATTTGGAAAATAAATGTTTACCCAGTGCCCAAGGAGTGTCCCCATATATAAACTGGATTGTCTCCACTTCTTGCTTTTATCCAGTCAAATACATGAAGAGCATCATAGGTCATCCCACTTTCTGAAGGAGTGCCTATAGAGTCTCCCCATCCTGAAAGAGATAAAAATAAATATTTTGAGAATCATACTTTAAGCTGCTAATCAAGATATAGGATTTGGCTTCATGTTTCAATTAAGACCAAAGAGTACAATGAGTCAGGACATTGGAAATGAATAGGTAAATTCTCAATTACCTCTCATTTACTTGGAACAGGCTAAAATACACAAAAAATAAAATGGAGTTGACATTATGCAGGAACTAAAGTTGTACCAGGCCTATTCAACTGGATTCCAGTATGCCTTGAACTTTTCAAGGAGTTTTCCCACTAATCAGACTGTTTTTGCTAATAGAACTGGGTGGGACCATTTCTTTTACATCAACTCAAAGCTACACCAATGTATGAATGGGGGTGGGGGGAGCTGCGATTACAGGATACATTTTCTCCATTTAAAAAACTACCATATGAAAAAAAAACTCAGTTACTTGCCAGCTATGCTGGTTCTACTTCCATTGGACCTAAACCAGGAATGTCAAACTCAATTTCATTGAGGACCACCTCAGGGCTGTGGTTGACCTCAGGGCGCTGGGTGGGCATGGCCAACTTGATACCACTCCCCAAACTGCTGGACTGATGTTTTCTCTTTGCATTGGGTAAAGCGGGCTGAAGCAACACTGGCTAGCTCCTTACATTTTCCAGGATGGCCCCATAGGCCGGATCTGACCATATAGCGGGTCACATCCGGCCCGCTGGCCTTGAGTTTGACACCCGTGACCTAAAGCATCTTGAAATTCTTAAGATCGCAATTCCTACAATTCTCCTCCCTCAACACACCCACTCCCAGCTAAGAACACTGAATAGGAATTGTGGGAATTGCCATCTCAACACCTCAAAAGTATCAGATGGAAGGGGGAATAGTCACACTAAAAATATGACCTTAATTTGCAGCAAAATTTCTGGGAATGTCTGTTTTCAATTATTTGAGTATGAGAAATGGAACTGACTTACAAGCTGAACTAAAAATTTTTAAAAAAAACCTTTATCTTGTGAAAACTGCAAAGCTAATTGAAAGGTCATAATAAAGGGTTTTTTTTTAAATTAATTACTGCTCAAGACAATTATTCTTAAAATAGACTGTTGTGTCCTTCTATGGCCTGATTCTTGCTGGCAGAAAAAAAAATTCAACAATATATTGAAGTAGCAAATGCCCTACTTTAGGAACCAGACGCTTCCTATGCTACTTTTTCACATTCAAACCTACAGATTTTTAGGAAATTTATGATTATCTTTTGTTTTAAGCAATAATGAGGTTCACTTGTTAGCAGATTGAATACATGGGGCTTTTATCCATACAAAACAGCAGGGCTTTTATTGTTATTGTTAACTGATTTAATTTAAAAAGGCAAGACATATTGCATGAAAAACTCTAGAAAATGTGGAAATGTATATATTTACAACTCGGTTGTACTATTCAGCTCACAATAGTTCCTTATGTTAGCAAAGACACAACTGAATTCATTGAAGTAAAGTTGTCATTAGACATTAATGAGAAGATCAATCTATGGAAGTATAAAATATTCCAAAAGTATTCAGTCAAAATGTGTTAGAGAAAGTAACATTTTTAAGGGTTGGCACACTAAGGCTCACTAAGTAGCTAGAATAACTGTTTGAAAACAAATAAGTAGGTATAAGCAAAAATATCATTTTTAAGTTTTTTCAAGCATGAAACTTTGCAGAATTCCATAGAACAATCTGTAGAGTGTGAAACTGTTCTATGCTATTAAATGGACTGTTTCAACCATTCTGGAGTGTTTTGAGCTGGGAGCAGAACTTATCTGAGTTCAAAAAGTTTGTTTTGAGCTCAAGAGTTTCCTGTTTCACATTCAAAATAACAGCTTCAAAATAGGTTATTTTGTGAAGTTTTTCATTAGAGATCCAACATTTTGCACTCTCCTGTCTAAACTAAACAATTCATTTATAAACATTCTGTAATACAGTTATAATTTATTTACAATTTAATTTATAAAAATGGGGAATTATTGAGTATTAACAGACCATGCACCATAAATTTGGGGATTAATAAAACACACAAACTCTTGCAAATTATGATATTAATGAATTGATATCATAATTATGAATTAATGAATTAATGAAATTCAAGAAACAGCCAATTGATTGGTTAAAACAAAACAGCCACCCATATTTAGGAACAAATCGACATTTCAGAACAAAAATGTTGTCTAAGACTCTTACCTCTATAATCAAAGGTGACTACATGGTAACCAAGAAAACTTAAAACCTGTAAAGGAAGATAAGCAACTCCAAATAAGTTTAAGAAACTTTTAAAATAATAATACCTACATGCTAACAAATTCTTTCACTTTGACATGACAATATATAAGGTTCTCATTTTTAATGGAGAGTAGGAACTATTCAAGATGCAATCCTTCATTGCGGTGTGGAATGCAACAGATCATAAAAGGTTTACAATATGATTTGACACTGTTCAGTAATGCACAGTTTTGAGCACCTTCTGCTTATATTTCTTATTCTTATTTATTTCACCTTATCAGGGAAATGGATGGCATATAAATGAAATAAATAAATGTTTCCCCACATATAAAATATGGAAAACAAATACAGGTACATGTTGTTGTTAATAATATTAAATACTAAATAACAGCATCCAGAACATATGAGTAAAAATAGTGCAATTCCTACCTTGTAAAGCTCCACACGATGATCCCCTCCTCTGTTAAGAAATGTTGGGAAAGTAAAGTTAAAATCAATATATAACATTGTGTTACATAATTTTCTAGTGTCAGCATAAAAATAAGCTGGCTTTTAACAAAAAAAACCTATTTGTTAGAAGTGGTCTAAGAGCCACTGATTTCAATAAACCATTACTTAAGACTATAGTCTTGACCACTTGCTAGGGGAGCAGCACTGCTAACTGGAATTTACATGATAATTCAGAAGTCAGCCACTTCCTCGGAAATCAAAATTTGAACTGCAGATATTGAGCTAAATTGTGCCTAACTATAATTACAGTGCTTCCCTCATTTTTGATAGCCAGACAAGATTCTTTCTATTCTTGCATTTGGAATGCTCTTAAGAGTCCCTAGACTTCAGATTCAGAACACTAAGAATCTGTAAATTGATCTCAGATATATAAAACATGTACTGTATAGAGACTAAGGAATATTTCTGAGCTAAAAGAGCTCTGCAAGGAAGTGGTTGGTTTTTTTTTAAGCAAGAATAGAAGACCTTTTAACTGGCTATAAGAAATTTATGCCAAAGGAGATGTTACTAAGAAGAGTGAAGAGTGAATATAGTTTCTGCATTTATCATATTGAATGTTTCCTAATTTAGAATCTGTAAACAACTGCACAATAAATATGCATTGAAATTTGTGGAGCAATGCACAGTAGCATTGAAATCCAAAACATTTATCATGTTAGCCGTAAGTGCCAGCAAATCTATTAGGGCAGTGTCCCTTGCCCTGACAGAACCCAAGTTGGAAAGGTAGATTAAAATCTATTTATATACACAAGTAAGGAAAGGTGCCACACTCAAGAGAGGAGAGGAGCCATTTACAAAGGCAGAAAATCATTTTATATATAGTTCAAACCTATTGAGTTTGGAATGAGTTTTTTTTTATTTGACACATCTCTGATGCAGCACACATGCTCGTAACTAATATATAGCATGTAACATTCCATAGCATCCCATAATATTCTTAGTATGATCTTGTTAATGCTCATCTTCACATTTAGGAGATGTATTTCTCACATTTTGAGTTTGCAGGTAAATAAATTTCAAGTCCGTGCCTTTTAAAGGTTTAAACCAGTTCTCTTATCAGATTGTACATAGCTTTCTTCGTTCCTCCAAGAATTAGAAACATTAATCAAAGGAACTCCTAGTTACTGAAAACATTAATCAAAGAGGCCTGCTCTCCTGCTGCCAGCAACCACCTTGTCTAATATTGCAATATAAACTGTGATACAATACCATGGAATCAGATCTGATGAAAAGACAGTAAGAGAAATCTATTTAAAAATCAGTTTACAGTGAACAAAACATATACTGGCTTCAGCAAGAACATTCCAAACTTCCTGCACATTTGCCCTGTTTAATGAAGAATGAGCCTTGATTTAAATTATGGGCATTATTTTTGTGTTTTGCTTACCTAGTCCCTGCATTTCCATGCAAATAAAGGATAACAGGGTTATTGGAACCCAAAATATCCTCATACCACAGTTGGTCCTTCCCTTGAGCATCTTTCCATAATAATGTAGGAACTGTGTGCCTAAAAGAAATGGTAACAAGAATTTCATTGTTTCCGTGCATATTTTCATTCTTAGTAACTTCCCTGTTTCAGAAGCTTACAAATGTGCAATACATTATATACAATATTTAGAATTAGTATACAAACCATTAACAACTGATTGTGTGCTGAATCTTAAGTAATTTCTGGAGTTTTAATTCAGCTATTTTCAACTGAGGATCATAGGATATTTCAAGGGAACCACAAGTGAAAAATATGTAAACAGGAGGCACAGAAATTGTATAGTAATACAAATACTGTCTTGTTGATGCTAGATTCCCAGCATCCCAGTTAAAAATTAAAAAAAATGGTTTGCAAATTGGTGAAGCATGTTTACCAAATAACACAACAATACTGCTGGCTTATGTAAGATATTTGTCAATGACAAATTCAGAGAGGAAATGCTTTTCACTTGAAAATTTAAAACAGATACTAAAGACAAAACAATTTTTGAAGAAGAGTTATTTCAATAAGAATGATATCTCTCTTGACAATATTATAGCTTCGATGACAGGTACACAGAAAATATATTGCATTTTTTAAAATGCTAGAAGTATTTTGTTTTTACTGCATAATTCACCACCAACATTTGATTTAAAAAAATTGGAAAGACTGGATATTCTGGCCTGGACAGTGGATCCATTTGCAATGGATACTGCTGACATTTTACATTACAGTGTAAGAAGAGCTCATCAAACTACAGAACAATATAGAAATTGAAAATGAAAGGCAATTAACTGCATAAAATTAAATGCATGTCAAGATTGTCTGTTTCAACAGCCTTGCAATGGCAGTGATTTAAATACTTATCCATGAGCTACCACATATATTTTAATTTTACACTCAATAACTTAATTAGCTGTGACCAAAGCTAATTCTATGCATATTGCTGATATATGAATATTTGAAAGTAAATAGGATGTACATTAGAAGCCTATGTAGTTTACCATTAGCATAATTAATTCAGTTTTCTTTTGGAAAAAGAGTGCAAGCAATCTAACAAAGAAGGGTAAGAACAATTCTTAGCAAACTTCTGCTTCGTTCCCTACCATACTTGGTAAAAGAGATGACTGATATTCTGTATTTTCTACCCTATTTAATTATGTTAATTAAGTATGGCTTTTAAAATCAAAATATGGTTCAGAATAAGTTAAATGTGTAGCCAATAGCACAGATACATGAAGATGAATGCCTTTAGCAAGGGAGCAGCAGTTCAATACAAATTTGAAAATAACCTTTGAAATTAAAAAATGTGGAGACATTGCTTTATTATATTTTATTTCCAGCCCCCGTTTTCAAGCCTTACAACTATTGCAAGCAAATATTCCAAACACCTAAAAAGATTAATAAAGAAAAAATACACGTACCTAGAACCAGCTATCTAACTTGCTTTACATGGAATTCATAAATTCAGAATCAGCATGGATAGTAACTCCTTCTTACTTTCCATGGGGATATATCCCGTCTTCCAACCCTAGCAGTAAAAACTTATAAAAATGGGTTTTCTTTAGGATTATACCAGGAAGAAATAGTTAAATTTGTCTCTGCATGTCTATTGGGATCCTGTTAATTATCAGCATTCTTCCCACCAAGCTGATGCAATCGGCAATTTGTAAGTTGTTACTATAACATCCTGAAGATGAAACGCAAGTACTTTGGCCACCTAATGAGAAGGAAGGACTCACTGGAGAAGAGCCTAATGCTGGAAAAGAAGAAGATGACAGAGAATGAGGTGGCTGGATGGAGTCCCCAAAGCAGTAGGCATGAGCTTAAATGGACTCCAGGGAATGGTAGAGGACAGGAGGTCCATGAGGTTGCGATGGGTCGGACACTACTTCGCAACTAACTACAATGACAACTATAACACTGAAGTTCTTCAATATTTCACCAAACTGGCTCTTATTTCTACAAATTGAAAACAAAGGAATATTAAACAACAGTTTTGATACTTTTAAAGCAGTGGTTAGGCATAAAAGTGAAAGTTAACACTGCTCATTTTAAAATACTATTACAGTTTCATGTCTACCTAATCAGTACTTCAAAATTATTGTTCTGTAACTATGAAAATCACTTTCATATAGGTAGATCAAGAGACAAGGGGCTGGGAGTAAAATATAGAACAATGCAATCCTGGATATCTGTAAACACTACCTATCATGAGCCACAGCACATGAGTCATTATAGGACAAAGGTATCCCATTCCAGTTCTTCAACAATCTTACAATATTCAAAAGACAATGAGGTAGATTTAGATATAACTGCTGTAGAGAGGATTCTCATGCTGACAATTTGTCTAATAACCATTATATCAGAAAACAAGAGCTTTTGGCTTACTTTTCAAAGGAATTGGTATTCTCTTTGTTATGCTAAAAGTACAAGAAAAAGCTAGAAATTAATAGTTCTGAATAACATTTAAACTTGTTCCAAATCGAAAAGCAAATTATTTGCCACAATTATTTTATTATCATTTCAACCTTTTTAAAAATAAATCTTATTAATCCAAAACTCAAAGACAATTGATTCTTTGCTGTGCTTTTCCAGTCTGGACTGTTATTAAAGAAATCTGACAAGTGGTTATATACATATAAACAGACTAAAATAGAAACAAGAAGTTGCAAATCAGTTTTGAAACTCACTTTACTTCTACTAGTAGAATGCTGAATTAGCATTATGAGTTGCTACTCAGTTCTACATCATGCTTAGACTTTCAAAAATCTTCTAAGAGCATAAAAACAGTGCAGATTAGATGAAAGGTCACAACAAAATGCTACCTAACAGCTAGTCCTGAAGAACATACTACCACAAAAACTGCAATCAGTTAAATAAAACCTGACCATTTATATTTTTAATCTTCTTTTAAAACTCCTCAAATCTTAACTATATCCTCACTTAACTATAGGAGAAAAGGTACTTTTTAAAAAAATTCTCAATTTCATATTCTTAATCTTAAACGAAGGATCCAGATCTAGCCTGTTAAGAAAGGTAATTACTTTTTCTCCACAAAAAATAATTTCATATGCCTTTATCATGTCATTCAATCTTCTTACTTATCTTTTTTCTAAGATAAAAAGCCCCATACAATTTCCTTATATGAGGACCCCTGAGCATTTTGTTTACTTATATAGAGTGGAGCATCAGTGTGCACTGGCCTATCATTGTTCTTTTAGACTATATTGTTCAAGAGATGTAAACATTAGATAGAATAATAACAATCCTACTTTTCCTTTAAATTGCAAGACTCTCGGCCCATTGCTCATCACATTATAACTGTATTGTTAGAAAGAACATGATTGATTAATTAATTATGGCAAAGGTATGGATATTTTATATTGCATCATTAACTTTTATTTTATTTTTTGTATTTTGTAGTCATATTTAAACAAGCTGATGGTTCTCCTATTGTTTTATTGTCCTTTGACTCGCTCTGAGCAGTATGAAATAGTGACAGTTATTTAGTGAAAAAGTCCAGACTGAACATATTAAACCCTCAAACATATTAGAAAAATACTATCTGAAAAGCAAAAGTATTTATCCAAACTAGATACCAGTATAATTGAAAAAAATGAAATAACTATAGAAGAATAAAACTGCTTTAGAAGAACAAATGTAAAATGATAAGGAGGTGAAGACAAGAAAAATATAAATATGAATCCAAACAGATGAAAGGAAATGATGAAAAATTAGGCTGGTTGGGGGAACAGAATTGAGTATCCTTCAAAAGGTAGAATTTCATCCTAATTAAGAACACCGTAAGCTGCAATGCTTGGTTGCAAGTGCAATTTGCTATTCTTGTTATCTGTTCTACCTGCTCAGCACCTGCTATCCAGTTTTCATTCTGCTCCCTAATAATCAGTTTCATCTGACAGAACCTGACATAATTCTGCATCATGCTGCAAAAACATTTATTAGTCCATCTGATTAGCAGAGAGTAAAAACAGGGATTCAAGTCATTAATGAAGATATCAAGGTGGTGAGAGCCTCTACCTTTTAGAATTAACCATCAACAGTAAAGGAACAATTAGTAATGAAAAATGCTGCAAACTAGCACTATCACATGGCTAAAGCAGCCACGACAGCTTTGGGAAAGATATTCAAATGTCATTATGTGTCTATACCTACAAAAATCACAATTGTGCAAGTCTTATTATTCTATAATACTCTATAGCAGTAAAAATTGGACTCTGAAAAGGCAGAATAGGAAGAGTATTAACACTTTTGAACTTCGGTGTTAGAGAAGACGCATGAAAATATCAGGAAAAGCCAAGAAAATAAACAAATGGGTCATGAAATAAATCAACCGAGAAGGTTTTCTCACTTGAAGCACAAATGACCAGGCTCAAATTATCCTATTTTGGAACATTATGAAAAGTCCTAGCTCTCTAGAGCAGTGTTTTTCAACCACTGTGCCGCGGCACACTAGTGTGCCGTGACATAGTGTAAGGTGTGCCGTGGGAAAAACACTTTATATATAGTCAATATAGGCACAGAGTTAAATTTTTTTAACATTTTCTAATGGTGGTGTGCCGCGTGATTTTTTTTCATGAAAAAAGTGTGCCTTTGCACAAAAAGGTTGAAAAACACTGCTCTAGAGAAAGCCCTGATACTGGGAAAGGTAGAAGGAAAAAGAAATAGAGAATGACCAATAGCCAGGTGGATAGATTCAGTTACAAGGGCGATTGAGTGAATCATTTGGAAGATCTAAAAGTCCATATTAGAGACAGATAATTATGGTGAAAATCTATCTTTGTGGTCAATAAAAGCTGAAAACAAGTTGATGGCACATAATCAATCAAAGATCTGGGATACCTTCTGCACAACAAGGAAGACAAAGATGAAACCTGAAAGTAACATCTGCAAATATATCTGCAACTAAGCAATGATTCATGTCATCCTTAGGGTTATGTTTTTCTTCCTTGTTCCTATGCTTTGTTCTCAGAGACTGAAGCTTGAACAATCCCACATGATTTATATTAAAACTACATTATTCTTAAGTTGAATCTAAACCATAGCCTTAAGGATAATACTGCACACAGTTGCAATGTACATCACATTATTGGATTTTTTTTTCTAAATTCACAAAAAAAACAAAGCTTTTGTTCTAATTATAAAAGGACACCACTCTGTAATGAGAGGAATAAAGTGTTCCTTACCAAACTCCAATAGTTACATCTTCCTCTGGCTGCAGATAGAAATTACAGGTATGATTTAAGCCTTGGTCCTGGGGTCTTTTCAAATCAATGAAATAGGGGACTCTTACTGAAATAGAAGGACAACATTCCTTTTACATTTTGTTTACCTGATGATTGAAATAATCAACTTCTGTAATGAAAACCAGCAACCATAAGCTTGCACAATAACACTTCTACTGAATATACATCCCGATGCATAATTAAATTTTCTATAAATTACAACATGTTTAAGTGTCAACAGAGAGGGGAGGAGTCTTTAAAATTATTTCTATTAGTCAGAGATACCGAAAAAAATTAAAAAGTCTTCTGGCACCTTAAAGACTCACAAATGTATAACGGTTTAGGTCTGCATGAATTGCAATGAATTGCATCAGAGGCATGTAAATATACACTGCCATTTGGGAGGAAATGCATGAACAGTAAATAGCCAGAAAGAAATGAATGGTATTTTTAATAGTCATTTCCCTCTGACATCTTTGTGCATTATTCCCAAATGTGCTTCCAAACCTGAGTTTGTACAATATATTCTCAGCTAATGTTAAAAGCCTCCAATTAAGACATTAGGCCAGATTAAATGTATGTACCTTTAAGGTACAATAACACTCTTTGCTGTTTTTTTTCTAGCAATTCATCTGGGAAAAGATTAGAAGTTTACCTTCTTTGGTATGTAATTTGTTTTCCAACTTCTATCGCTATATTCCAAAACATACTTATTAAATCATAATTGTTAACTGTCAATACAGTTTACTGTTTGTCCTAGTTCCAACAGTCAATTATAGATTGTATCTTTAAAACTAATTTAGGAAATCCTAGAATTAAATTTGTAGGCACAGTTTCAGCTCATTGAGTAATGCTCATTGGTTTTCTATCCCATCTTTGTAAAACATTTGCAAGGTCAGCAGCAAATTCTACATAATATGCAGACATGATAATTAGAATACAGTCATACTTAGCACAGCAAGGATATTTCTGAGGAGTGATGAAAGGAAACAATTGCGTGTTCACTGTCTGGTCTTAGAACATTCTCTGCAGATGCCAACAGTAACAAAATTGCAAGCAGCAGTATCAAGCCTCTCCTTCATCAGCACTTCACAAAGAAATACTGAAATATACAGTAATCAGATACCGACAAACTGAGATCTCACATGCTTTAAATCTGAACTGAACGTTGCGACACAAGATTTAATATATGTAGGCACAAGTGAAAAAAGTCAAATGAGTTCAAATTAAATATCTGATTCAATATACTAGATTTTCTACCAACACAAAAATAAAATTATTATAGCCAAAGCAGCTTGATGGCAGCAGTTTCCAAGATTCTTGTGGGATACTGATGTTGACTTTTAAGTAGTCAAACTAACTAAACAGAAATCAGTCTTTAAAGAAAGGGTGGGCTGACAAGATATGAACACCTATTAATCTTGAATTAAAATATTAGCATAAAGTCAAGATAAAATAAATATTAAATGAAGCAGTATTCTTACCGAAATTTAGAAAGACAAGCTTTGCCTGAATAGCTGGACAAATTTTAACTAGAAATGGAATTGCTATGTATATTCCCAACAACCAGATTACTACTTTCCGCAATCGAACCCACATTCCATGTCTCCTGTAAAAAAGGATAGGAGAGGAAATGTAAGTTCATCTTATTGGCAAAATTCTTGTGAATATGTTTTGCTATAGATTTAATTAAGATAACCACGGTGGATAATAATCACTACCAAAATGTAGGCCACTTATTTGTGGATATAGTCACAATTATTACATAATCACGTGCTTCCTGTTTTTAATAAAGGTAGCCTCCTCCAGATCAAGTCCAACTCCACCTATGCAGAATGTTTTGACAATAAACTGGATGTATTTTTCCACTGCATATTTTTGAGAAGATTTATAAACTGCTACATAATTATTTACAAACAAACAACATTTGACATTCTGCTTTGTAAAGTAACATGAAGAAGTCCTGTCCCCTGCACTTAAGAAATATTTAAAAATTGTACTTTGACTAATAAGGAGTCCCAAACGAAGAGACAGAGGAGAAGGACAATAATTAATATCAACACATTTACAGCAGTTCTCTCAATTTAATGTTTGAAAATCCCTAGAATTAATTTTCTGTTTTTTTAACAGATTGAAATAATGTAAAAAAAAAAAAAGGATCTCTTATCCAAATAGCATATCTAACAATATACTGTATGTTTTCTCTTACCATTACTATGATTAATAATGCTGAAAATGAATATGATAAAATTCATATAATTAAAGAGGGCAGATGTTATATAAAATATTAAAAATATGATAATAAACAAATGAAACTAAAAGCTAATATCTAAATACCAAAACTGCCATTCAGGAAGTTTCCACCAACATTATTGCCCCTGCTCCTTTGATGTGCAGTTTGCAAAGCAATACTGCAATTATTTTATAATTAACTTCCTACCGCAATAAGTAAGAAAAATCACATCCAATTTTTTTCCTCATTTGGAAGTAATTGCTTTCTTCTTTGGCTACAAATTATAATGTGGAAAGGTGTAAGAGTTGAATTGATCCTCAGTAGACTGTTATTAACTCTCAGAATTCTTGTAGAACTTTTAAGAAAGGAATACTTTATTAGCCCAATTGTTAATGCTTTGGTAAGCATCCTAAACTAGAATCTACAATAATAAGTTCAATCTCACTATTGTAATATCATTGTGCCATAGTAATCTTGTATGACAGGGTTTCTTAAGCTTTGTTGTGCCCTGGCAAAGAGCTTCTTCTGGGCAATGATAATGAAGTACTGAGAATGGATGATGGCATCCTGTTTCTGCATTTTGAGCAAGGAAAGCACTCCACTTCATAGCTTGCTTGTCACCTGGCCCCATTGCAGGGGGTTTATCAAGAGAGACTGCTGCCAGCTAAAAGGACGAACTACCTTCTTACAAAGAAAACAATTCTATGTATGATAATAATTTATTATTTACTTATTAAAAACACATAATGAAACTAATTTAAGATGACTTGCTAATTACTGGGAACAATCTGAAATTTAGAAGATTTAGAACAACTTTATTGTCACTTTGAATGTACAGTAATAGGCATACATTAAAATGAAATTTCATTGCATACAGCGCTCAAAGGGTCACCACCTCCAATATACACTACATAAATATCACAAAACAAATTAATAAATACAAAATACCTACATATATTATATGACACAGAGAAACAACACAGTCTTGTTTGGATGTATACATGTACATGGGGAGAAATTTATAAAATATTACTATTGTATGGCAGCATCTATTCCAAATATCACTGCTGTAGATTTCATATCTATAGTTATCAACTGCCAAAACCACTCCTATACTGTTTTGCTTATAAAAGAAACTTCAGTCACATGTCCTATTTCGTTTCAGAATCAATAAATGTGGATATTGTACTTCAGCTGATTTTCTCTGAGGAAAAAAACAGTTCCTTTTCTGGTGATGAAGCACACATTGGACAATTTTCATAATTTGGTAAAATTATGGAGTCTTCGGCATTTTTCAGATTTTTCTGAGTTAAAGCAGAAAAGTCAGACAATTTCACTGATAAATTAGCAAAATTTGAAACTTCTTTCTACAGCAGTCAATACATAAAGAAATCAAGAAAAAAACATGAAGATACATTATTCACAATCATATGATTATCACAGCAACGTTATTGTTCATGTATTTAGCAGATAAGGCCTTGTGATACTAATCAGCATTTGTAGACAATTCTGCTTTGTTTTGAGTTACTACGAACTCAATTTGGGATACAGCTTTATTAGGATTTGCCTTCACTAAATTAAGGACTATTTTTATCTTAGTCTCAGCATAACTAGTGCAGTGAGAATCAACCAGAGGTGGGTTGCTCCCAGTTTGGCCGAACCAGTAGTGGCGGTGGTGGGAGACTCCACCCACTCACCTGGATTGCACGCGCACATGAGCACAAGCGAACTGGTAGTAGACCGGTTAGGAACCCACCACTGGATTCAACTAACTAAAAACATTTTTTAAATTGAGGTTACAGATCTGTTAGTTGCCCCCTAAATAATCAGAGTAATTTCTCCTTTGCAAATAGATCATGGAAACATTTAAAACTCTTGTGCTGTAAATGAAACTCTTACTTCTGAACATTTACTCTGGAAGATTTTCAGGCTGCACTTTTGTTACTACTGTACAACTTTAATTTAACAAAAAAGATTGATTAAGCAGAAGTTAAAATTATTTAGTATTTTTCCTTTATAAAATCATTATCCTTTACTTATAAACAAATTAAATACATTTACTATGGTCTTTGACCAGCCTTTGCAATAAAAAGAATTATTACTGGGAAAGAGAAAAAATATTAGAACAATAAAACAACGTATCTAATTAAAAATACATATACAGTTGTACAACTTGTTAAAATTACTAGACCACATGACATGTGAATTAGCATTACTATGAACTTGGATTTTTAAATTTCTTTTTAATATTAAGCAGCTCATCAGCTTTTGCATTCTTTTCTTTCAACTTCAACAAGACCTTTGTTGAGCCTTCTTCAGTGAAAGTATCACAAGTCTAACTGGACATTGATGTTTTCCATAGAAATTGCAATTCCAATTTTTATTTCTTCTATTTCACACACCCAACATCAATTTTACCATTATAACTTCAAATTATTAAGCAAATAATAACATAATTTATACAAATAATGATGTAAATCAAGGTCTATCTATACCAGAATGGCTTACCATTTCCTTCTGAAATGGACTGTATTTAGTCTAACCTCTCACCTACACTATATCCATCATGGATGATCCTTCTGAGAGTATACAATCCAGCTCCTAGAATCACTTGCATAGCAGGCCTTTTCAGACCTACAAGGTAATAATCCATAAAATCAAGCTTTAAGGCATTACTATGCAATTAATATGATCACTCTATATTTGCTTAAAAGTAAGTCCTTCTTACATGTAATGGTTGTATTTGCATAAGACTTGCTAAAAGTATTAACTTTAGTCTAATAGAATGCTACACTGCCACAAATATTTTGGAAAAAAATGTATATGTGTAAAATAGAATAGAATAGAATAGAATAGACAGATGTCATAACATTTACATTCTGTGGAATGTATTGTGTTTTTCAGTTGAAGTCAAATACTTCATTTCATTAACATATTTGACCTTCAGCCTTGCTCATTCCTGCCACTCCTGACTATGTGTGCCTTTTCTATTTAGAATTCTCTGCTCCACCTTAAAAAAAAACCTTGTTATCTTCTTCCCTCTAGCCCTATCTAATCTAATCTAATCATGTGGAGATTTTCAAACTTTGAATACCATGACAATTAACTTTTGCTGCTATATGAATGGCAGATTATCATAAAAGACAGCTAGTTTTAGATGCCATGTTTCAAAACATGCCCACTGCTTGGATTATACAAACATGGTTTATTGTTTGTCTTATACAAGCATGCTATAGCTTATCTGGGAAAGCAGGAATGTGTTTTGATGTTCTCATAGTGCAAGCACTTGAGCATTGGTTTTAAAATATTATCCCTTCTAAATTAGATGCAACTCCCATTTTGAGAGCCCTTCATTAATAGATTTAGATTTCACATCAAACCTACAAGGAAATAATTTCACAGAGACCTTGCCTTATGCCAAACAAATCAACAATCAACTACAATAATCTGTTCAACCACAGAAAATCTGGGACCTGAAAGGTCACCTAATTTATAAATCACTCCAGAAAAATTAAACATATCTATATAGAAGAGGAGCTAACTTTCTTTGCCTAGAGGTCTTGGCAACATAAAAATGGTCTCCAAATTTATGCTTATTCTTAAGTTTAAGGAAGTAGTAATATTAAGAAGCACAGGCAGAGTTTAAAGTAGCAACTATGTAACATGGACAATTATTTTTTTAAAATGCAGAATCTTGGAAAACTGAAAGAGATGAATAAAGATCTTTTATAACATTATACTCCTTTCAGCTATATCTCTTCAGCCGCATTAAAAAGAAAAGAGACAAGATTCTCTTCCATATCATAATTATACATCTTAAGCCCCTCATCAAATAACTACTTTCTTTGTGGCTTACCAACAGATTCATGCCAAAACTGGGAGAAGTGCCACAATAATGACAAAATATTAACCTATTTTCATTAACTTTATATACAGTATAGCCTATGTTTCTTTCTCCTGAAAGACTATTAATGTATTTTCATGTCAATGTTCATGATTGTTTATATTTGCTTTTTTACCAAGCTTACATACTGCTCCAAACTTATCGCCCTCTCAGTAGCTTATAGATAGTTAGAAGCTTAAAATAGGGCGATGTAACTGTAGAATTTCTCAGCATCAAGAAATAACCTTAACAATTAGATATTTCAAAGGATATTTTTTCCAAATAATCTACAAAAATAAGATAGGAAAGGTACAGCAACAAATGTACCTTGGTTCTGGCAACAAATAATAAAGATAAAGAAATCTACTACACCCCTTAAATGTAACAGAAGATGTGTAAATATATATATAAACTTCTCTGCTACTGCTAGGGAAATATATAGTGAATCACAAGGTACATGTCTTCATCCATCAGGAGCTCAATTCCATTTCCTCAAAAATATTTTGACTGTAAGGGGTAAAGTAAGAAGTCCTTGAATAAAAGTTTGTGGGGAAACGCCTCTGAAAAAATATGACTGCTTCCTTGCTGTAGTAGAGTATATAATCCTAAAGTCCAATTGCCCAGCAAAGGATATTAGGACAGCAAAGAGAACCTGAACTGCCATTCCCAAAACAACACAAAGGAATTCTGCTCTGCTTTGAATCAGTGCAGTTGAATTTTCCCCTATATACTACTTACTGAGATTAAAATAGGCTCTCTAGATATTCAATTAGGTATGAGGGATTTTGGTTCTTTTTTTAAAAAAAACCATGAGTTTACCAAGGTATTTGTACATAGAAAAGATGTGCCTACTACTAAACTATAAATCTTAACAAACACTTGTTTTATTTAAAATTATTTGTATAAACACTGAATAATTACTCCCAGTGCTGGTTACAACTATTATACCTTTGGGATGGAAAGAATATAGCCACAGAGATTAGTGTTAGATTTATTTACTTTGGCTCATCTTAGCAACCCAGACTTTTATTTTATGCAGGCTTTAAAACAGAATATGAAATAAGGACAAAGATTTCAACAATCACAGATAAAACCTAGATAAAATGAGAAACAAAATAAATATAATTATTAAATATAAATAGGTTTCAGTGAGTTGAGTAGGCCTTATTTCCACATAAACATTGGTTATATTATAGCATATAGTTATGAATTCTTTATCCATGTTAATTTGTTAAAAAGTGAACTTATGATATCCTATGATTGGATCAATATTAAAAAGAAAGGATTTGAACACAGGTTGAAAAAAAAAAGGCAAACCTTTAGGATTCGTGCTATTTTTAAATGCTGGACTTCATAACATTTCAATTTTTTAAAAATGGATGATAATCTCAATTTTTCCAAATCTTACAGTATTTTTAAATTTTAGATCTTGCATGATTTTATTGTTTTACAACACAAAAATTTTAAATTATTATTCACCATTAAGGTACTGCAGATACTGTGTCAGCAGAACAATAGTAACAACAATCTTGACATCTGCAGTTACTTATTGACAATTGAATAATCTGGCTTAGAATCAGGTGATCAAAGGTTATCAGAGGAAAAATTAGCTTCTAACAGGGTAACAGGTAAAAAAGGCATTTACTAATATTATGCTGTAATAATAGATCTAATACAGCAGAATTCATGGGCTGTCAACCACAGTTCTCAAAAATGATAATATTCCCTAACATTGGGAACATCTTAACATCTTTCTGGATGTCTCCTGTATCCCTAACATCCTTTCTGGATGTCTCCTGTATCCCTAACATCCTTTCTGGATATCTCCTGTATCCCTAACATCTTTTTGGATGTCTCCTGTATCAATGAAGAGTTATTAATCATTTGTTTTCTGATATCTCAATAATGGGAATGTCAAGTATGAAACATATTATTTTCTTTTCATAAACAAAATGTTCCTTTGCTTAACTATGCAGAAATAGTTGAAAGTCCCACTCAGTTCAACAAAATATACTTTAAAATAAAGATAATCCTCAATCTAAAACCATTCACTTAGTGACAAACAGCACTGAAAAGAGTGACATGACCTTTTTTGCACTTATGACCATTGCCGCATACTCATGGTCATATGATCAACCGGCATGTATTTATGACAGTTGCGGTATCCTAGGGTCTTCACCTTTTGCAAACTTCTGATAAGCAAAGTCAATGGGAGAGCCAGATTCACTTAACAATAATATTACTAACTTAATAACTGCAGTGTTACAACTCTGACAGGACAGGTTGTAAAATGGGGCAAAACTTACTTAACTGACTTGTTTAGCAACAAAAATATTGGGCTCAATTGTGGTTGTAAATTGAGAACAACCTGTACACATGCATAGGATTATACTAAGATTCCATATTATTCTGACACATAGAACCTTCCTTAACTCTGAAAAACACAGATTCAAATTTTCTCTAACAAAGCTGACTAATTATAACATCTAGCAGCAACAGTTTTAAAACTGGCATTCCACATCAGGACTATGCACCTTTATTGCCTATTAAAGGGTTGCTTACATTTACAGACAAAAAAATATGTGGTAGCAGAAAACCAAAATATGGCACCAAGAAAAAATGGTTTAAACCTAATTAAAATTAAATCGATTAAATGTTTTATTTATTAAACTTATATTGTGCCCATCTCACTAACAAGCAACTCTGAGCACCCTTGCCTAACCCAATTAATTTCCTTTTTTTTGTTACAGAAAAATATTTTTTTTAAAAACAATTCAAGGCCAATTCTGTATCCAGACCTTTGGGACTGTTTCCAAGAATGGGAGGAACACATCCCCAGCTGTATCACCCAAAGGGGAAGAAAGGAGCAGAGATTCTGAGGAACATGTTTTTTCATGTTTGTGGAAGATGGAAAAATAAACATCCTAAGTGTTTTTAAAACAGGGGATATCTGTTTGCTTTCAAACAGCTTTGAACTGGTGTGATCAAAAAAAAGGAGAAAGCTCTGCTGTGTATGTACTCTGCACTCATGAAGGAAAGATGGATTATACATTTAATAATGATGAGGTTTTTAGAAATTTAGTGAAAGACACAGATGTGACAGGCACACAAAAGGGTTAAGAACAGATAAGTTTTTTTATATGCCTTCCAATTATTTTTAATTCTTTCATATGCTCTGATATCTAAGCCAATAGCGAAAGCTTCAGCAGTTATTTCATCTCAAAATTGAAGTAAACCGATATGGAAATAGATACATATGTCTTTCAATCCCACACTATAAGCGAAAGACAAACTCGACCGACTATCTATTGAGATTGTCTGGTCTTTTCTTTTCCTTAGGCTGAAGCTTTCCATATGCTCCATCCCAGCCACCTAATCTCGCCCAGTGGCAAAAAACAGCGCCTGCCTGACCAAAACCCGATACACCGTATCGCCTCCTTGACCTGCTGCAGCCGCAGCCCGTAAACCGAATGCAGCACTAAAGAGCAGGGAATGCTCTGGAGTAAAAAGCCCAAACTCCATGGAGGGCCGCGGCGTTTTTGGTTCCTTCTCACCGATCCTCGGGCTGCAGTCGCCCGTCGTCCCCCCAATCCAGTCTACTGCGAACCTGCAAGGCGAGCCCCGAAAGGCGGAGAGACGAAAGGAGAACGCCAAGGGCATTCCTCCGCGAATTGCAAACGGGGGGGCTCGCCGCGGCCAACCCGGCGCAAACAGCAGAGCCCGAGGAAGGGAAGAGGCAGGCGGGCGGCCAGCGGCGGTAAAGTCGAACGGATTTGTCTGCCCGTTGCCAAGGAGACGAGACCGAGGTCGAGCTTGCGAGGACCGCGGGTGCAAGGCCGGCAGCGAAAGGGTTGCTCCGGCTACCAGGAGCCGAAGGGAGGGCCGTTATGCTACGGGTCTCACTCACCTGCCGAGCGCCCGCTTCATAGCAGAGTCCCCGGCGGGGCGGGCGCTGCCTGCCAAATGCGGGCTGGATTTCAAGCTGAAGCCCTTATCCAGCGAAAGAGAAGGGGAAGACGAAGCAGCGGCGGCTGCGGCGGCTGAAGCCGGAGCGGAGGAGGCAAAGCGCTCATGCTCCAAGGTGACGGACTCGTTCCGCTTTCTCATGCCGGCGGTGCCAACGCACGGGCGGTGCCACTTCCACTCTGCCTCAGGGAAGACGCCTCTGACCCGAACCCGACGCCTCTTTCGCCTACATTATACCGACAACAGCCCGACAACCGAGAGAATAGCAGCGCTTCTCGCGTGCTACCAATCAGAAAAGACTAAGCCCACGTGACCTTCTACGCGTCCCATACCAACATAGCTGCAGCGAATGATCGTTTCTTCAGCTGTGTTACTGAATTGCCCACATCAAAGATGGCTCCTGTGGGGAGGGAGGGGGGGTTAAGGTAAGATAGACTAAGCGACGATTACTTTTCTCCTAATAAATTACGAGCAGCTACGCAAATACAGCCTGTGGAAGGCAGGTGAAAACCCCTGTGCTTATTTTTGTATTTGCACTTTCCTGTCTGTTGATAAACCTTATAAGCCTGCAGATCGGATGCGAAAATTGGGATCACCGGTAGATGAGAGCAACAAAGTAGTTGTTAACATCATCTTGCTATCTCTAGTAGTCGCGGAGATCTTTGCAGCCCGGATCGGATATCACTAAATATATAAACCATGATTTTTTTTTCATTCCACAATGGTATATTGGAAAGTGGGTTATGCTGCACAGGATGCAGACTGCTACTGTTGTAACGACAGAATGGAAATAAAAGGTTATCTGCTGTAACCTCTAATATTTTCCAATAAATTGCTGACAATATTTTGTGCATACTCTGTCACTACACCTAATAGCCAAGGGAAGTTATTAAAAGTACTTTTACTTTTGTATTGAATAGAAAGGATTCTTTACAAAACAATATATTATGGCTTACAGTGCATACAAAAAAGATGTCAAAATGGAGAAGTGATAAAAGTGAAAAAAAATATAGTACTTATACAAATTATAAAATGTCCTAATATAGTTAAAAGCTACAATAGCTTTATAAAACCCAATCTACATATCATTTTGGGAAAGTCAAACCCTTGGTGAACCATTTGAACAGTACTACTTTATTTCACTTCACTGGAGCTTAATGGAATTGTTGCAGCTAAGCCCAATGGAAGAAAAGCTAAAAGCAGTTGATTGTTTACATTTTAGAGCACCATGAAATTTGAGATGTTTCACCATTTGATAAAAGAAAAGATTCCCATATATACTAAAACTAGTAGTAGAAAAGCACTCTCAAAATACATTAATTCCTCCTGAAAGACAATAAAAATGCAATGATTTTTACAATAGTCATCAAAATGCATTAAACAAAAGTGAAAGGCTTATAACAGGAACTCATAATCCATCCACAAAAGGCTTAATATAATACCTTATAATGTAATGTAATTACATAATATAGTACATTAGTTAATGTGTTTAGTGCAATAATGACAGTTAAATTCACTTATTTAATCATAATTAGCTGCAGAAGTCATAGTCGCTTGGTTCATGCAGACTTGCCGCCAAACCACGTTGTTTGGTGTTGTTATGACTGAACAAAGTCATGAATTTGGCAGGGGTGGGGTGGATTAATTGCATAGCAGGGGATTGCAGCCAAAGATTTAAAAGGATAATTCATTGGAGAGAATAAATTTAACAGATTCCTGTTGAAAAATGCAAGATGTGGCTTTGAATTCTGATAGAACTATTTTCCCTCTTGCTTGAGGTGCATTATTTTCTGATAAAATATTTGGTCAAATGTTTACATAATGTTACATATCTAAATAAGAAATATTTATACCTGAAAATATTGCACAAAATTTTATTTAAAAAGGGAGGGGGGGCGCCATGAAAGTGGATTGATGGTAGATTATCCTTTATGCAGGTAAAACTAAAAAGACCCATGTCAAAAAAAAAAACAACCCACCATCTTCAAAGAAAAAAACAACGGTCCAGTTGCTTCCTGAAAAAGCACCTTTGGGACACACATGTCCAGTACTGGAGCCACTTAACAATCTGGTTGGAGTTACTTCCTAGGAGATTTAGTTAGAACAGTGTGAAATAACCAAGAACACATTCTTGCAAAGGAAACTGATATCAGTTGGATTCCAAATTAATGTGTTGAGAACCCCTTACATGTGTTACTTTAGAAAAGCAATGAAGAGATCTATAGCATCTCAAAAACAAAGAAGTTGGATCAAACGAACAGACCACTTAGCCACAGCATTCTGTTCTCACTGTAGCCAGCCAGATGGTTCTAAAAAGCTTGTAAATACACGAGAGCAGCATCAAATATCTGCTTAATGTCATTGATAATATATTTGTAGTTAGATAGATTTATCTAGAAGAAAGACTATTTTTATCACATAGTATATACTGTACAATTCCAAAGGCTCTNATTTAATGATCAAAATATATTTGGATTTGTATTCCAACTAGTAATATACTCCTGTCTTGTGCCTGCTTGCCTAACTCCTATTTTCTGTATTTTTTCCTTCTTTTTATAGAATTTCCTCCATTGCAGAGGGAAGAGATTGCTTTAACAACTTGTCTCCTCCTAAACTGCTTTTCTTTGCAGCACAGCATTTTCCTTAAAGTGTTAAACACAGGCATCGCCCTTCCTGTTAACAAGCTCAGTGACCCTGATCAGTTACTAGCACCATGGGCCAGCTTCCACTACTATCTGAAATTTGCACAATCCTAATCAGTTTCAGAGGAAAGGTTTTCTTTTGCCTCTAGGCAGGAGCTAAGAAAGCACAAAAGCATTCTTTTCAATATGTATTCCCCATTATGTGCTTGCTTACTGTATTGTAATCTCTTCCTCTCCAATTAGTGCAAATCCCAGAACTGAAATGGAGATTCCAAAGGGCAGGGAAATGGGGGGGAGATAAGCTGTAAGATTTATCTTTTTCCCAGCTTCTTTGCAGCCAAGTTCTGAAACATAAACCTTTCCTGCTGTTAGGGCTCACCCAGTTGTTTGCATTTGTATCCTCCTGATGCTGCACCTGTGGTCAATTTTGTAATAAGCATTTCTCAAGATTTGTTATTGTCTTGGCATCCTCCTTAGTGTTCTTTGTTATGCCCTGCAAACTCTAAATCAAGTGTAGATGCACAGATTGACAACTCTCTTCTTTGAGTACATAAAATATAAATTGGTGGGATGTTTTTCTCTTCTTGGAAGCGTGATTTGAGATAAGGCGTAAATTCTACATTCCCAGGTTGAACTGAATGTTTCCATTTTAGTCAAGGAGCCAAGAAAAAGAGTGCTTTATGTGTAGAACACTTTTTTAAAAAGTGCTAAGGGAATAAACAACCTCACTATGCCTTTTTGTGCTTCCTAGACTGCATTCAGATTATCAGCTTTCCCACACGGGGTATTTGATTTCCTCAACTAATAATAACAGCCTTTATTGTCATTGTATATCATGTCTACAATGAAATTGGTTGCAAGATATTACTAAGAATGCAGAAATGGCAGCCTGCATTATTATCTATCTTTGCCTTTGCCTTGGAAACATTGCACGTCTTGTGGATGATTGCAGTTACTAGGCATAGTATTATGGTCTTTGAGTTTGCATTTCAAAAGTATTTAATGCAGATGAGAGTGTTAGGCCATTCCAGACAAGTTAATGTCCAATTTAGTGTGATTTTATCTTCTAACTATGTATCCATAGTCTGAGGACTGGTAACGTGCTACCAGAAAATGCAAGCTCTGTGTGCAATTAGATGGCGTCAATTTATGATTTGATGGTGGACAAGGAGGTGATTTCGAGATGCATTACTGAGACCTGGCTGGCAAAAGTAGCAATGTTGCTTTCTCTGAAATCTATTCATCCAGGTTTGGGTCCTATATCAACTCAAGCTGGGGATGGGTATCAGCTACAGCCCTTTTCTCCCAGCCCCTGAGTAACACACATAGTGATCCCCTTTTGAGCTCATAATTTATTTCTATGTTTTACCTATAGTGACAGTTAGTCACATGTCTAATGTTCCTAATGAAAATATAGCACTTTAACTTTGATGGAAAAGGGGAGACTCACTGGTTTTTCAGGTGAAAATATGTTTTTGTGCTAATAGCAGGAATGTAGCAAAAGTCTTTTAAAGATATGGAGTGCTTTGACGGCACAACATGCAGTATCTGCTATGGCCATTAAAGTCAGAGGAAGAATTTGAGTATTTTTTGCCATCTAGCAAAAAGAACATATGTCTGCTTAGCAAAGCCATTTATACAATTAAAAACCAACTGAGAACTGTAGAGATAGTATTTAATTAAAATGTGCCAGATACCTAAAGCAAAAAAAAAAGGAGGGGGGGAGTTCATTGGGTTCTTGTTTACAGTTCTGCTTAAATAATATAACACATAATTCAATGGGTAATATTTTACACTTGCATAAAACTCTGTTTATGCACACGTGCACGCACACACACACACACTCTTTAGCCAGTGTATAGACAGAAAGGAGGACAAAAAATTGAAATAACAATAAATGTCCAGTCCCCAAATGATAACAGTGTAGAACATCCTGTTTCTGTGAAATTTATCCAGAAGATACTAAATGATTAAACTTTTCCATTGGAAAAAAAATGGAGTTTTATTGCTGTAGAGTCGACCCTGTGTTCCCCCATCTTCAGAATATATTTGCTTATTATTCTCCTATTTTAGATAGCATTTGTATTTTCCCCACTCTGAAGCGGTGGCTATCTCATATAGAATTCTGTTTGTGAGAATAAAAGTTTTTGTATTCAGTCAGAAATAGGTAGAACAAACTTGACCTATTAATATCTTTACTACTGATCGCCACTTAAGATAGCTGAATTAAATGAATAATTCATTGAGATGCAAATGTGATTTCTCCAACTAGCTTATTAAGGGATGAAATTTTTTCTTCCAGAATTAAGTTCCTATTTTCCGTGTTCTTCTGCATCTGCTCTGTAACTTGCAACATTTTCATCAGATGTGCATTCTTCACATACAGGTCCTTCAGCAATAGATTAGACTTGGCATTTTTTTCAAACTGAAAAGGAAAGGAACATTCCATTAAGTACTATTCAGACACACCCATAACAAAACAGCTAATTATAATGGATTTAATATTTATCTAAAGAATTAAAAATACCTCTTTAACTTCATTGCCAAAATGATTCATTCTGAAGAAAAGTTACACTATGCCCTACCAATTCTCAAAAAGAGACATTACTGCTTTAGGCCCAAAGCCAGCTGGTTGAATTTGGGCCAATCACTCTCCTAAGCCTAGGAAAAAGGCAATGACAACTTCTGAAAAATACAAAGGTAGTCCTTTGACTTACAACAGTTCAGTTAGTGGTCGTTCAAAGTTACAATGGCACTGAGAAAAAGGAACTTATGATCATTTTTCACACTTACAACTGTTGTAACATCCCCATGGTCACATGGTCAAAATTCAGACACTTGATAACCGGTTCATATTTATGACGTTTGCACAGGGGTGAAATTCAGCAGGTTCTGACAGATTCTGGAGAATCGGTAGTGGGAATTTTGAGTAGTTTGGAGAACCAGCAAATACCACCTCTGGCTCGCCCCAGAATAGAGTGGGAATGGAGATTTTGCAATAGCCTTCCCCCAGGAGTGGGAAGGGAACGGAGATTTGTATTCTTCCCCTGGAGTGGAGTAGGAATGGAGATTTTGCAGTATCCTTCCCCTGCCATGCCCACCAAGCCACACCCACAGAACCGAAAGTAAAAATAATAATAATTTAACCAATGCATTTGCAGCATCCTGGGGTCATGTGATCCCCTTTTGCAACCTGTCAAAGTCAATGGGGAATCCAGATTTACTTAACAACCATGTGGTTAACTTCACAAATGCAATTATTCACTTAACTGGCAAGAAAAGTCAAAATGGGGCAAACACAACAAATGTTTCAGCAACATAAATCTTGGGCTCAGTTGTGGTTGTAACTCAAAAACTACCTGTATTGCTCAGAAAATGAGAGGCAGTACAAACAAAAAGCTGAAATATATTAAAAGGAAGTACCAATGTTTGGACACATAATGAAATAAATTCTTCACCCTCTGTTCCTTAATTTGGAACTTGTACACATGAGTATGTAGAGTGAATGGTTAGAAATCTGCTTGCACAATATTCAAATGTGTTCTGTTGATGGAGGGAAGACAAATACTTTAGGGTAATTTAATGTATATATTGTAACGCATTCCAGAATACTTTTGTTTGTATAGTCTGTTTTAAAACTGCAAGCAGTAGACAATGAATTTTCCATTTCTATTTCTGCTCCATTCACAGAAAGCAACAAATTCACCCTTGCCACTTACTTGTTCCTTAATTTGGGACATTTTTTTCTCAAGCAACATTTGTGTACTCTTCAAATTCATCTCTACTTCCACCAACTTCTCCTCCATTAATCTATGTGCATTTTCATATTCTTCCTGCAGAAAGAGGAGCATAAATTCTGAGCAGCGTTTATTGTATATCCCAACACAATTTAACCATAAGTTAAAGTTAAAGGAATGGCCCAAGAGCAATTGTTGATTACAACATTGCTACAAGATTCTTTATATATTTCAGAAAAAATAGCCTAAACTATTCAACATGCTTGTAAATTTAGTAGTGAAGGTAGTCACAAACCTCTGCACTATATTGCACTATAAATATTTATGAGTTGTTTTTGATAGGGAACATTAAGCACATGTTACTCTCTGAGTTTCCTTGTATAACCAAGCTTTAGTTACCTACAATCTGTTTTCATTACAGTTTTTTTTGCTCTACTATTAAGCAATTGCCTAGCACAGGAGTGTCAAACACAAGGTCTGGGGGCCAAATCCAGCCCATGGGGTGCTTAGATCTGGCTCACGGGGCTGCCCTGGNCCTCGTCCTTCTCCTCCTCCTTTCTTCATTTCCTTCTTCATTCTTATTCTTAAGAAAAAGTTGTTAGGTTGCTGCTTAGTCTTCTGATCAAATTAAGAGTTTTGTTTCCATAAAATTCCAGCTTTAAAAAATTGATGTCTCACTTTGGAGATGAAATATTGATCTAAATTCCTCTTTTCCTCAGCAGCCATGCCAGATGCTTCTGGAATTGTATATATTGATAATGCCGAACAGCAGCGGGACAGTCACCTAGTTGACAGAACTTTTGTTTTCATGAAACCTTAAAACAAGTATTGGCACTTCACTTTGTGCTTGACAGGCTTGCTGCCCACCCAAGTTAAAATGATATATTTTAAAATATTTAATATACTTAATAATTTAAAATGGATGCTGGGATATTGCAAATAGAATGCCATTTTAGCACATATTATTGTTTGACTATTATTTATTTATACATTTATAGTTCACCAAATCCATTATGACTCTCTGCAGTTGTCAAAGATACACAAGCAGGCAGACATCAAAATAAAAATACAGAAGCTAATGAATTCAATAAAATTGAATTTAAAAAACCAAACTAAACTTAGTAACTAAACTAAGATGGAATAACGGCCCAAATACCCTTTGGAAGAAATCTGGTTTCAGCAGTTTTTGGAAGACTATCAGAATAGGATTTCCACTGGAAAGCTGTTCCAAGGGATTGGCACAGCCATTGAAAAGCTACAGTACTAAATCTCAGTCCCTAAAGTGAAACATTGCTAATTATTTTTCAATAATAAAGCAAACTGGTTAGGTCAATTCCAAAGGATAATGCAGACCTCCAGCTATAGGGATTTATAGTTTAATAGCAACACTTTTAATTCACTAAGAAGCTTGCTGCCAACCATTGTAGCCCACGGTAGTTGTATAAGGAGTACAGCTTACTGACAAACATTGGTCAGCACATGGGCCACTGCAGCCTAACCAAATGGCAGTTTCTTAAAGATCTCCCAAATCTGTCACATAACAAAATATGTTGAATTAATTTAAGTGGATGGCAATAAGAATATGAGTCCTGCAACAGCAAGATTCTCCTGCTCTAGACAGGTACTAAATGATCCATTGGGAACCCCGTATCAAAACAACATACCTTATGTGCGGCCAGAATTTGAAAACAACATTTAACACAGCACAGTACTTGAGCAAAATGGTTTGGTTGAGATCGGCATACATGGGACCGATTGGGGTAGATTGTAGCGGTGACACTGAAATATAATTTATCATATTTTATTTATCCATATATTAAATTATTTTATTCCACTTCCATTTTAAATTATTTTTATCAGATTTTAGTAATAATTTATATTTGAAACTACTTTGATATGGCCCATGAGCTAATCAATAAAATAAAATAAAATAACTAACTTGATAGAGCTATAACTGGCACACCAGCTAAATCTGAAAAAAGCCTCTATCCTCCTGCCTGACCATGGCTTCCATCTACCAGTACTAGTCTAGCAGGAGCTGATTTGATTACTTAGGTTTACTTTAAGTTTATATCATTCCATCAAGATACATGCTGGGTAAACAAATAACCTCAATGGACAGGTGGTAACTACTGTAAGTGTTGGATTCAATTTAAAAATTTTCTATCCAATCCAAACTCTAAGACCTCCAGAAGCTAGAATAGGATTTCAATGGCATTACTAGTTTGACCTAGCACTTTAAAACTGAGTATCATCAGCATATTGATGATACTGAATTCCAGACCATCAGATTAACTCTTACAATGGCTTCATGTAAATGGTGAATTAGCATGGGAAAGAACCAACCCTTGTAACATCCTACAAGGGAGTACCATAGCTATCCAGCCAATCTCTCCTACCTGTCCTCCCTGCCCATCAGCTGAAGCTGCACAATAAAGAAAAACCACCGCAAAATGGTGCCCCAATCCCCAAGTCTCACAAGCAGTCCAGAAGGATATGATAGCTATTATTATCTAAAATAAACAGGATGGGCACATTTCCTCTAGGTCCAAAGGCAGCAATATGCTAGTGCGTCCAATCCTGTTTATATTTTTTCAATAAGATATTTCAGTCAATCACTGTTAGAAATGTGAAAAATATGAAAGGACATTTTATCATGTTTGATGGGCTTGTAAAATAGATCTTGGACACAAATACATATGGTAATGCAGAGAATTTTATAACATATGAAACCAGAATATTTCATACTAGAATTTATGGCTAGACAAGTAGAAAGTTTTCATGAACAATTGTTTTTATATATGGAAACTGCAGCAAGGTCATTACACACACAAAGATGGAAAAATACAGAACCTTGGTACATAATTTGGAAAGGGGAAGATTGTAATCATTATGCTTTTAACTACTACAAAGAAGATCAAAAGTGACTTCTTTAAATATCTTTCTCTTTTTTTGTTCTTTCACTTTTGCTTTTATCCTTTCATATTTTAGTTTTCTATTTCCCTTTTATGTTTCTGTAGTTTTTAGGCATATGTAAAATCTTTAAATAAAAATTATATTTTAAAAGTTATATTTTTATTTGCTGAAACATTTTACTTGAATTAATTAGGTTAGTAATTAAATAACCATTGTATTTGGTATTTTCCTTTCCCAGGAAGATGGAATCAGACAAGTACTTGAAGAGATGAAAGCATTGTATGAGCAGAACCAAATTGATGTGTAAGTCGTCTCATCAATAAAAAAATAATTTGTCTACATAAAACAGTTTTTTAAAAAAAAATTAAATGAAGACTCAATCACATTTTGCATGAAAAAAAATGTCGTTAAATATAGCTACCAGAATCCAAACAGGCAGCAGCTTGTTTGAGCTCAGAAGTTAGCAGCATTGAGCCTGGTTAGACTGAACCCCTATGAAACGTTAGGCACATAAACTAGATTGGAAATTAAAAACAACAAAACTCCCAAAAGAAAGCATTGTCAAATCAATCAATAACTGCCTTAGTTTAATAATGACAAATTTGTTGACTCATTATTATGAATAACTACATTACATCTTCTGATGCAGATGTAACGTTTTGGAGAAAGATAGTAATACAGAAAGTCCTCGACTTACAATAGTCCTTTTAGTGACCGTTCAAAGTTACAGTGGCACTGAAGAAAATGACCTATCATCATTTTTCATACATACAACCATTGTAGCATCCCTATGATCATGAGATCAAAATTTGGATGCTTAGCAGTTGATTCATATTTCAACTGCCAAAATAGTTGGCAGTTGTAGTATCCTGGGGTCATGTGATCATCTTTTGTGACTTTCTGGTAAGCAAAGTCAATGGGGAAGCCAAATTCGCTTAACAACCATATTATTAACAACTGCACTGATTTACTTAACAACTGTGGTAAGGAAGGTCATAAAATGGGACAAAAATCACTTAAATGTCTCACTTAACAACAGAAAAGTTGGGCTCAATTGTGGTTGTAAGTCAAGGACTACCTGTATATATCCAATGTCACTTTATCTAGCAAATGTACAATTTGGGCTAGATGCCATCTCACTATACAGAAATATACTTCCTTTGCATTGAATTTTAGCGAAGAGTAAAAGTAGTGAGATAGCTTTGGGCTGCTTGTAAAGTCCCTCTATCTTTGCAAAATAAATGATTTTTCCCCTCCAAGATATGTGCGTCACAAAAGAAGGCAAAATATACTTTTGGTTTAGCTTTTATGAATGCAGAGCCTAAAAGAGTATATAGTAATTGCATGTTAGAGGAGCAATGTGGGAACAATTTTCTATAGATTTTTTTTCAGTACAAAAATATCCTTTCCTAAATTAGAAACAGAAACAGGAGAAAAGGGTCTAGTGGTCCATCAAGTCTGCCCTTTGAGAGTTTTTTATTGCATTTTATTTTTATTTTTGTCAGATGATGGACATTTACTTATCTCAACTAAAGGTGGTTCCAAGCTTCCACTACTTTTTCTCTGAAGTGATACTTCCTTTTTTAATATTTTTTTTATTTTTGAATAAACACAAACAGACAAATCACAACAACCACAAAAATATCTTCCATTACAAATTATAAAGAGTGTGTCAATTGGTTACAAAGAGCTTCCATGCATCCCTTCCACAATCGTCATCTACAATTCATATCGTTATATGTTTTAAATCAAATATATTTATATATATTACTATCATCATACCTCAATCTTCATATGACTATGATTGTTTTTACGTCCCTTTATATAAAATATTCCAAAGTTTAAAGCAAAACCACATGATGGCATTCTGTTATCTATTCTCAATATCATCCAGCAACATTACATCTTTATGACACTTTCTAAATAAAAAAAATTATATTTAATAACAAAGTTTCTAGACCTCCTTTCTTAATCTGAAGTGATACTTCTAATGTTACTTTTGAACTTCCCTCCTGTCAGTTTGGGGTTATACTGATTTGTTGATTTTTTAAAATTGATTTTTCTTAATATTGAAAATACCTTCTATTTTTATTCAAAATTGCAAGACTTTGCAATTCATAGGCAAATTGAGATGGAACTTGAAGCTTACTGTATATAATAAATATAAACTAATAGCATGAGCCAATCACATGTTTGGGTGTTTTGAGTTCAAAATATATTTAGCTAATATAGTTCTACTTATTATTACCAGAAATGAAGCCAAGTCAGGTCACAGTGAGTTGATTACAACAATCAAATTTCGTCATTGCTCTCTGCTGAGAAACCGAAGATGTGTTGTTGCATACTTGTAAGTGTCTAGTGGTCCTCTGTGAAATAATTCTCAATTCTTCCAAGATCAGATTGTTTCACTTTTGAGATTTTTAATGGAATTGTACAAGACTTCAGATTCTTAACTGTATTGATAATCTGGCTGTACAGATAGTCCTTGATTTACAGCAGTTCATTTAGTGACTGTTTGAAGTTGAATGGCATTGAAAAAAGCCATTTGGCATTGAAAAAAGTGACTTATGACAATTTTTCACACTTACACTTTGACACTGACACTTGCAACTTCCCCATCGTCATATGATCAAAATTCAGATGCTTAGCAACTGACTCGAATTTATGACAGTTGCAGCGTCCTGGGGGTCATGTGATCCTCCTTTGTGCCCTGATAAGCAAGGTCAGTGTGGAAACCAGATTTATTTAACAACCATGCTACTAACATTTAGCAAATGTGGCAAGAAAGGTTGTAAAATGAGGCAAAACTCACTTAACAAAAGTGTTGCTTAGCAATAGAAATTTTGAGCTCCATTATGATCATAAGTCAAGAACTATCTGTAAATACTCTGTAAATACCTTTAAATAAAGAAAATATGTAGGAGATATATTTAGCTAGATTTAATGATTGAAGTAATTGGGCACACAAAATTTTAAGGCACTCATTCACTATTAATTGATTATATGTTATGGGTAAAGACTTTTGCAGGTATTCCAAAGAGCTGCAACTTTACTTGTAGTTTGTTGCATAGTAAATGAGCTGTATATTTTTATAACACTAGAACAAAATTTGTCTTTGTGTAATGCAGTAAATTTGTGTAGTTTTTAAATTTCAATACTTTTCATGAAAAATAGGGCAGTGACTTTGGATTTGAAAGAAAAGATTGTTTTGGAGTGCAACAGAATGAGAATACATCAAACCCGTTTGCAACTTCTTAAAGCAGAAATGTCCCCCGCCTTAAGATTGTGCAGCTACTCATTGCAGCTCCTTTGAATCCCATGAGAAAAATGCATTTGATTTAAGGAACTGCAGATATAAGTTACATTTTCCACTTTACCCAATTCAAATCACTTCTTTTTTTTACAAATCCAAAGTGATGTACAGCCTTATTAGAAACAGTGTACAATAATGAATTAAATGTTTCCACTGTTACTATATTTAGGTATGACCGCTTACTTCGCCTCCGGGCACTTAGGTGGGAATATGGTAGTGTCTTGCCAAATGCTGTCCGATTTCACATGTCAGCGGATGAAGTAAGCTAAGTGTGTGTGTGTCTGTGTGTTTGTGTAGCTTCAGAAGATTGGGAACAATCCGAAAATATGGGAATATAAGAAGAGTATATTTACAAATATTAATTTAAAAATAACCAAATCTCTTTAAACATACTATAAAAGTTTCACAAAATCTGCTTAGCAGTTATTTTAGGTCAGTGAGGAAATGGTTCACTAAAGATGGAAGTTTTAGGAATAATTGGTACTGTTTTTATAAACCAAAATTTATGGCTTAGCCTCATATGTAACTATAGCTGGTTATGGTTTATTCAGTAAAATAGAGTTCAAGAAACCCTAACATTGTGAACTGTGTAAACCTATTGTAACACTTATGTTCCAAAATATTCTGAATTTATTTAGTTAGGCAGATGGAATCACCTTTAATTCTCAGGTATACTAAGAATACACAATTGTTTACAAATTGACTCTCAGATGAGTGGCAATTAGGTAGGGTTTTTTTTAATACATGACCTATAGAAACTAGAAATCATTGAGTTATTAAGTAGAATTTTTGAGATTTCAGACTTCACTCTGTTATTTGTACTGTCTTTTAATAGTTTGGAAGGATATCTAACATAGCAGTGTATAAGTGGTACTTAATTTCATGATTAATTAAACTTTTTATATCTAGGTGCTTTGGTTTAATCAATATAAAAAGTCATTGGCTACCTATATGAGATCAATAGGAGGAGGAAATGGCCTTGATCTTACACAAGATATTAAACCTCCCAAAAACTTATACATTGAAGTAAGTAAAACTTTTTTTAAAGAAGAAAATCTTGGTTCATTATCAAACTTCAAAATATACAAAATTATTTAATATAATCACTGCAATCTAAATTTAATTCATTATGATGCTCAGAAGAGAGCATAATTTATGTAACAGGAGAACTTCTTAATACAGGCCTATGCTTAATTTACCAATAATGATGTGTGTACTACTCATTATTTTTCCTTTAGGTTCGGTGTTTGAAAGATTATGGAGAATTTGAAATTGATGACGGTACAACAATTCTGTTGAAGAAGAATAGCCAGGTATTTATTAAATAGACAGGATATATTATATTATTATTATTATTATTATTATTATACAATTGTATCACAGCGGCCAGTTGTTTCGC